AACTCTTTAGTGTCAATACTTAAACTCTAATATTGTGAAAATTACTATGCTCCAATGAAATTGGCCAGATTTACATGCATATCCATTAAATCCATATGTATTAACAACAAACGAAATAAAAATAAAAGTGTTAAAATAATCAAGGGCAAAATCTTTCAATTGTTTGACCATAAGCTTTGTACAAGTTCAGCAATGATAATTGTTCATACAGAAACTTAAAAGTGAAACTATCTGACTTCAACCGTAAGTTAGCACTATGAGATCACCAACACAACATATAGTTGCGCTTTTGCAAAAGAGCAGTAAAATGCCAGCAAATATTCAATTATGAGTTTGCTTTTGCTGTCCTTTTGCAAAAACGCAGTAAAAGCATAACAAATATTCAATTATTTAATAAATATTAAATAATTGCTGTCCTTTTGCAAAAGGGTAGTAAAAGCCCATCAAATTCGGACGTTTCTCTCCGTCCGTTGTCCGCACAGAATAATTAGCCCTACTAATGACCTCACAGATAAGTAGTACTCAACCAGTTTGTAATATTTTAATATGAGTGAGTGCAAAAACTGCGACTTAGCCAGAAATCTTTTTATATGATCACAAAGTTAATTAGGCTATTACAATTTGTAAAAATACTGTTCTATAGATTCTAACTAAATAGGCTTTTTTATTAACAAATTTCATTCTCTACTAGATTAATAGTTTATATGGGGATCAAACAATTTTTTAGTCATCCATCCATTCAGTCATTCCTTCATTCTTCATTGGCATGCTGGCAAAGTGTTCTAACTTAAGAAGCATGACATGGGTACATAAGTCCATGAACTATTACACTCCCACATACCCACTCTATCAATTAGAGTTGTGTTTCCGCTTGCCAAAGCAGAAACATGTTCCCACCACGCATTAAGTTATAGGGAATCACTTCTTTAAGTATGATGAGTTTCTATCCTGACAAGTATTCACATATTAGTATTGATCTTAACATCTATGACAACCACATGTACGGGGTCAAACATTCCAACAGTATAATTTATTAACACAATCACACGCATTTGGATACTAGTACCTAGAAATGCATGTTTACAACCCACACATTATATTTAGGATGAGGATAATTTAATAGACACTTATTTAAATGATATGCAAAAAAACTCTAGAAGGTACATGAACATAGAGAGCATGTCGCGAGGATTCCAACATTATAAATTGCTAGGAAATTATTTTTCTTACATAAATTAATTTCCTTCTAATGTTTTGCTAATACATAAATTTTTATGAAGCATGAACACATTTACATGTCCTCTGCGTTAGTGTCGGACATGGACATGATTCTGACATGTCCAATATTGTGGTGGGTCCATTTAAGAGCAAAAATCACTTTGGATAAGTTGCGAAAATAGGGGATACACCCTGACACATACAAATATAGTAGCTCGGTAAAAAAATATAATTTATGTAAAAATATTAACTCGTTTAAATTTCGTCTTGTCCTTCTTTTCCTTCTATAATAGCGAGAGTGAGAGTCATTGAGAGATTTTTTATCACGTGCCTTAGCTCAGCAAATTGAGCGACTCTAATTGAAATGCTGCCTCACTTCAATACTGGACTTTGACTCTAACGGGCTTCAAGTGAGTCTTGTCTTTGACTTTGACGGACTCTAGCTTACTTGGAAGCACATAACTTTGATTTTGACTTAGACTTCGGTGGTCTTTGAGTGAGGTTTAGCTTCGACTTCAACTGGCTTTGATTTACTTGTGTGCGCACTACTTCAACTTTGATGTAGGACTTCGACTGCATACACTTACCATTGTGGCATGACTTTGAATGAGCGAGGCTTAGTTGCTTCAATTTCGACATTGGCTTCAAATCTCTTGAGTTTTTTTTTTTTTGTATTAATTCTTTAGATTTTTACTCTTTTACTATAAGATTGTGTTGAAGCAGTCATATACTAAATTCAAGGTTTTAACTATAGCAAAATTTTCTCAATTTTATGTTCTAATATATTTATGCTTTTTGTTAATATCATTTCTTCTTTTACTATAAGATTTTCTCATTTTTTGTGTTCTATCATTTGTTAAAGTATTTCTTTTATTATTAATTATGTTTGTTTTTCTTTTATCAATTTAAAGTTTTTTTTAATGATATTATTCTTCATCCTACTACAAGTTTAGTAAAAAATAGTATATATTTTTTATATTAATAATTTATAAAATGAAATAGTGTCTATGGCGTATTGTATTGCCGCGTCCGTATCTTTGTGTTTATGTTTCTGCTTCATAGATAAATGTTTAATAATTAAGAAATTGTATATATATCATTATTATAAATTTTATGTAAAATTAAAAAAAAAAAAATCCTCGTCTAAAGATGTAAAAGAGGACCCTTGCCTCATGACCATACAAGTGATTACTGTGTTGTAGCACTGACCACCTGTTTACTTATTAGCCTTGCCAATGGAGCACTCAAGCCATCCTTCCACCTATCTTTAGTTATCTCTTTTTCTTTCTCCCTCTCTCTCATTAATGGTTGTTGTCCAACTTGTTGTAATTGTTTGGCCATTAAGCTACACCAAACACCTGACTTCATTTGATGTCTTCTTTGTTGGCACGATGGAACCTTGAAATGATTTTATCTAATACTGTTTTTCAATCTCACATATTTTTATCTAATTCAAAATTAATAAGACAAGCATATAGATCAAGCAAAGAATGGATCGAAGCAAGAGACTCATATTGAATTTAAAATTTAAAATTATGGCTAAATATCTATTGATGTAGATGTTCTACACTTTCTTTACCTTCTAAAAAATCATAGCCTCCGGTAAAAATCCATTAAAAATTAGGATTACTTTTGGTTAAATCCTAAATTAAGTCTGCACAATAACCTTAGAAACCTGAACTTTAAACCTTTCAATGTGGATGGTCTCTTGGGAGACTATAAAAGCTCCTTGAAAGCAGGTCCACCCTCCTCGTTGCTACTTTTTTCAAGCATTTTTAGCATTAGACCTTGTGGTGTAGATGTTGTTCACATACATGATCAAAGTCATTTGCACGCATCTTTCTTATTCTTTAGGCCCTCGAAAAGTATTGTGTGGCAAATATTTGGCTCAAGAAAATCCTTATGCTCAAGTTCTGTCGGCACTCTGAGACTATTTTTGCCATGCAATTAATTTAGCATTTATATTTATTTGTTTGAACTTGGGCATTGCCTGATTAAGTAAGCCTCTTGCATCTTGTCTACATATATGAGGATAAGTTTAATTTCACTATTCCATGCTCTTTAAAGAAAAAAAATGAAAAGTCAATATTGAAGATTCAATTGATGAAATCTAAGTGAAACTTGATAAGATTCATCAATATTATTTATTTTGAAGAAGATAAATTGTTTTTTTAGAAGCAGGTCATGTAGCTAGGCTTGCTTGTTATTAAGATTAATTTGGAAAACTATCCGCACGTCAGGGACCATGTAATATAAGGGGGACCAAAGTTAGCCTAATATGCTCATGATTAAATTCATTTCTAACCCAAAATCTTTATGTTATAGGTGAGGGCCAATCATTTACTATTTCTCCATTAATATATATTTTTAAATAGTTGAAGCTGGACTTAATCATTTCTCTCGTATATGCCTTAATATCTGGCTCTATTCTGAGAACTTTTCACGCCATCACCCCTCAAGTATAATGCATTAAAAATTCACTCAGTATGTGATAATCACTCATTATGAACCTTATTTAACTGTAGTAGAAAGCATTAAAGACTCATGCGAGCCAAAAAATTTATGAACAATTCGATTATATTCAAGCCATCAGCTATATCACTTTTTGGAAAGTAATCAAAGGTGGGCTAAAGTTGGGCTTGATACACCGGTGGTCAAATTCAATTTATTTTTAATCTAAAAGGTTAAGCCTATGCGAGGGCCATCTATTTGATATTTTTATGCCAATGTATTTTCAACTATTCAATATAGGATTAAACCGATTCACTTGCATGCCTTAATACAACAAACTTTAATTAGTATTATTATCTATTAAGCATTGTTAAATGGTCTACCAATGCTGAAGTAGCCTAACCAAAGCTAACTCCAATTTTGTCTAAACCATTAGACAAAATATTGTAATGTATATCTTGAACTAAATTGCACTTTTGAAATAAAAGGTTCATAATAACCACGAGGCCATCATGTCACCGTTGCACAGTCAGTTGTTCATCAGTTGATGGTTTCCCAATATACATCTAGACAGTGCATTGTGAGCGAGTAATGCTGTACTCCCCACACACATCCACATATAAAATCTCAATTTCTTGATTCTTGTGCGTTGGTGATGTGGCTGGCTCATATAGAATAGAAAGCATTCCATACGTGCAAATGTGGTGTATGAGAATTGAAGAAATCCATTTTATGAGTGTATTTATTCGGTTAGTGAAACATTATCATCTAGCAATTTCGATAGCCCAAGATCAAAGCCCCCATATATGAACTGTGTTTGTGTAATAGTTTAGTAATCCACAACAGCCGTATGATTGCATTTGAGACTGCTAGAAGAGAATGCAAGCATCTAAAAAATAGAAGCTAATTTTTTAAGCTAATACAAAATGTACAAACAAAAGTACATAGCTATCTTGAATTATAGACATTTTAGACAATCATTAATGTATTCTATCAGTGCACTCATTTGAGATTTTTTTTTAAATATTCAGAATCTTTGCACGAACATGTATTAAGGAAGATGAATTGAGAGTGTTTGTACATATCTGGACTTCATATTCAGGATCCATGATTTTTTAACTTCTAGTATTGGTTTGAGCAATTCTTTTGGTGTTCCCTATTGGAAGCTTGTCAAGCTAGCTTTGGTTATGATTTGAGATGTTTTGCTTTATTTGTTTTGTGATTTTGAATTTATTGATGTATGGCGTTGCCTATCAAATTTTCTCCTTAATGTCAATTGCGGCTATTTTTCCTTTGATTATTGTTGATTTTTTTTATTCATTCTTGATTAGGCTGCAAAGCTTATCGCTAATTTGCTTATAATGGGCTCTGGAATTTTAGGAAGGGCTGTCTTACAAGCATATCGTAAAGCACTTGAAAGTGAGTTGCTTATCGTCACTTTCTTTGACTGCTCTTCATTTTGATTCAATCTCTTAGATTTTACTGTTTCTTTGGTTATGTAATTAGTTAACTATTGAAAATAAATAAATGGATAAATAAACATTATCCTTTGAAATAGTGTGATAAAATTCTAGTCCGTGCACCTTTAATGTTCTTAACTTTGGAATGATGTGATATAATTTACAGTAAATCGTCTCATTCTTATTTCTGCGTGCAGCTTATCTTTTTTTTCTTTTTCCCTGCGAAGCATGGGTTTTGTTGTCCATCAAATTAGTTTTTATGTTTGGTTTACACGCAGCTCTGAGAACTTTGTATGGGATTTGAGTCTGGTGGAAAATATTAAGTGATCCTTACGTGAGAAAGGATTTGCTGACACCGAAACAATTGGGATAAAAAGGGACTAAAACCTTTTTAATATTAGACAACTAAAAGAACCTATAAACAACCCTCTGCCAACTGATTAGAGGCTTTTATCGATCAAGAAGAGGATTATCTTGAAATTGATAGGTGTTTGAGAACTGTTCCAAAGCAAACTTACTGTGTTGGTCTGATTCTCAGTGCATGTTTCAAGCCAAATGGTCTGCAAGCTTTCAGGATAAAAGAAACTGCACAAGGAAAAATCCGAGCAATCCTGATGTAGAAGGCTTTGTGGATTAAAAAATATGATAGTTTAGTGCTTTGGCTTTGATTTACCACTGCCTAGCTCCTTCCGTGACTTTCCCACTTGATTGCAAAGGCTGCCTTCAATTCCAGCCTACAGAAGAATCCACCCAATATTTGCTGGAACTTTTCCAGCCATCGGAAACTTTATATCTGCACTTAATATTAAGCAACAAGTCTGCTGTTCTCGTTGTTCCTGCTATTGGTTGATGGTGATTGATGCATTCATACGGCTGGATCACGATTTGAGCCACCCAGCCGCTGCGAGGACCTTGAAGAACTGGAATTCTACCATGGCCACTTATCCCAGAGGACCTCTTACTTTAGAAAATTGCAACTCGTCTCTTTGGACAGTTGCCAGAGCTGGTTCCTTCTAGAATAAATTTTGGCCGACTATTGAACTCAATTATGACCACCGATCCTAGGAATGAATCTTCCTGCTGCTGTTTTGGATTTCCTGCTGCAAGAATTGATAGACAACCAATTGAAATTGTGACGAGAGGGCTAATATATTTGAGGATAAGGTATAGAAGCTCTAGCGATCGATTGTGGTGAAGTCTTACACTTCACTATTATCATCTTCTTCCCTCCTCACCTCTCCAAATATGGGGATTCACCGCAAAATTAGGAACTCAATACCCCAAACTTCAGGGAGCTTGAAATAACCTATGTTTATAGGCAAGTGATCCTTATTAATGCCTAGAATCTTTTATTACAAAGTTTTCTTTTGAAGAAAAATAAAGACAAAAAAGTTCCTCAAAAAAATATTTAAGACAAAGTCCTAACAAGTCCTTCCTAACACTATGTCATTTGCAAGTGTTTGATCAATAGTTCAAGAATTTGGAAAAGATAGATGCTATTTTGTTTGTTGTATTAGAAGAGTAAAGTAGAAGAAATGCATGAATTTTATAATTTTAAGTGGTTTGAAGTAAAATAAATATGTTGTTTTTAAGAATTTAAAATATCCCAAAAATCTTCCTAATTCGTTCACATTCACGTCACAAAGCCCATTCAAGCAACTTTGTGATTTCGTTCCTGTCTTCTCTGTTTCTATCCTTGCTGCTTCCATCGCCCATGATCGTGTTTGTAGTTTCTTGAATTTATTTTGCAACCAACAAATAACTTTAAGTATTCAAAATATATTATATTTAATTTGAATATAATATTTTTTTTTTCTGATGCTTCACTGAAAAGTTGTGTTTAGTTTTGATTTCAGCTGTTCCTATATCAGTATGAATTTGAATTGTTATAAGCTCACAAAACATTCTTTATTTGCATCTTTTTTTATGATTGTTTATATGAACTTTAAGAATTGATCTAATTGTAATTGCTTCCCTGCTCAAATTCTATAACAGTAGTTTGGTAGCATTTGAACCATTAGTTTTGCCTCACTTTATGAAAATTTATAACATTTTATGATCTCTAAACATTGATATTCATGTTTCCTGGCCTTATGCCTTAAGACTCTTCATCTTTGCCTTGGTCTTCATAGATGCCAATAAAACTGGAGTTGCCCAAGAAACACTACAAAATATCCGTAGAGCAGGTAGAACCATGACCGAGCAAGAAGCCCGGCAAATCTTAGGACTTCATGAAAATGCGTCATGGGAGGAAGTATTACAGGTTTTACCTTCTTTCCTTGCTCGCTTCGTTTTAATCGAATGGAAAAAAAAATGGTTATACACACACACAAACACCAAATTTTTTATTAGGATATGTCTCAAAATCATTTGATTTGTTTTGTAGTTGATTAAATATAAATTTTGATTGATTTCTCATATTTTACACTCATCTCAAAATCATTATTGAGATTCATCCTGATCAAATTTTGGCCACAATATCATAAACTAAAATTTTCCTAATTGAATTTGGTGTTATGAAGATGTATTGACTAAAAATTTGTTTAGGATGAGTATCAAAATCATTGAATTTACTTTTATTTTGATTGCACTCATCTCAAAGTAAATTTAATAGCTTTGAGATTCACGTTGATCAAAATTTGTTTGGGATATTCATAGCTATATATTTTTTAAATTTAATTATGTGTTCTGAATATTAACCAAATTTGATTATGATGTCTTAAAACTGTTCGATTTATTTTTAGATTGATGAAATATAGTTTGTTGATTGATTAGTCGTATATTTCATTCATCTTAAAATAACTTTAACAGTTTTGAAGTTCATCCTAATTAAAATTAAGCTTACTCAGAATTTTCTTAGTTAGTTGTTCTGGAGATAAATGATATTGAATTCCTGTGTGTTTTTTTATTTCCTCAGAAGTACGATACTCTGTTTGAGAGAAATGGGAAGATGGGGAGCTTCTATCTTCAGTCAAAAATTCATAGAGCCAAGGAATGTTTAGAGACTGTATATCAGAAGAATGGTGAAGGTACTCAAGGAACAGGTTGAATGAAATGTAGTTTTCATCATTTTTTAAATTGAAAAAAAAAAAACAAAATATGAGAAGAAGTAGCTTTTAGATTAATATAATTCATAATTAGGCATTTTAAATAGCCGGCTCATTTTGTAACATGGAATAATCGTTTCCTGGATTTCAAATCATCTGCTGCTACTTTGGATTAGGGAAATCTTAATTTCACTGTGTATGAAACGAAACTGCAATCTTTTGTAATATTTAGCTGGTTTGATGTATCATGTTTTTTTGGTAACCAAAGAATGCAGAATTTGGAAGTGCTCTGTTTCAGAATTTTTTTAAAATCTGAATTAGGGGTGCTAAAATCTGACTCGATTTGAAATTTGATCCAAACTTGACCCAAAAAATTTTGGGTTCGGATCAACCCATTTAATATATGAGTCGGGTTTGAGTTTGAGATTTTGACCCGTTTCTTAATTGGGTTAGGTTTCAGGTTGACATGACAACCCGAAAGCAACCCGTATTTGACCCGCCTGGCGTCCGCCTAGGTTGTCCGACAAACCTGCATTGCCTCAAACTTGAGCAATGCGGCCATCATGTGATCAAACCCGTGCCTCAAACCCGTGTAGGTGACGCGGTCAGCAGCCACGCCTTAGGCCCTCAGCGGCAGCGGCTTAGGCGTTGGCTCCGCCAGCCTGTGCTCAAACTCGCTCTCACGGGATGTGTTCAAAGCCTCAAACCTGCTACCCACCCCATCCTGTGATCGAACCACTTAAATGCCCTACACCCCGACGTTTGTCGTCTGTCTATGTTGTTTAGGTCGCAACCGATTAGCCCTAGAGCTATCTCGATGTCGTGTGCACTATTTCGGCGATTTCACACATTTTACAAACGGGTTGCGGGTTGGGTCGGGTCAATTTGGTAACCTTTGTGGGTCATGTTTGGGTTGAAAATCTTGACTTGTTTGTAAAACCTAGTCGGGTTTGAGTTGACCCGTTTAGACTTGAATCAACTCGGGTTCGACCTGAACTTGACCTGTCAACCCTTTTGACACCCATAATCTGAACGCGCATATATCAGATCATGGCTTATTCTTTATGAGTTTATGATAATTTCATTATGGTAAATTTAAATTTTTTTTTTCTTTCAACGGCTAGTTTTAAGGTTCAAATAAACACTACCGGTTGAGAAAAATAAAAAGTTGCATTAAATAGTGGATAGGCAGCCTAAAATCTATTTAACAATCTTGACATATTATTGTTGCTGTAGTTTTAAGGTTCAAATAGTAGCTTGATGCTAAATGAGCAAATCCAGCCATTTTTGTTAATAATATCATCTGAGTTGGTTGTTTCTAAAGAGATGCAGTAAGCTACTTACTACTTAGTAGTGAAAGTTAGATAAAATTGAGTGAGTTTTATTCATTATTATGTGTTTAATATTTGATGCAAATATCTTATACAATAATTTTTTTGCGGGTTTCTTTAATATTTAATTCAAATATTTTGTCATTAGGCTTATTATTTTAACGACGACAACAACAACATCAAGCATTTATCCCACTCCGTGGGGTCAGCTACATGAATCATTTTTCTCCATTGTGTCATATTAAAAGTCAAATTCTCGTTTAAATCTAATATAGAAAGATCATTTCTAATATTTTATAATCAAGTGTTTTTAGGTCTGTCTCTATCTTTCTTAACATAAGTCAAATATAATACCTTTACTTTCCTAACCGAGTCATCGAAAGGTCGTCATTTTATGTGATCAAATCATCTAAAGCGACTCTCTAATCTTATCTTCTACTGGAGCTACTCCAACCTTTTTCATGAATATGCTCATTTCATATCCTATCTCTAAGAGTAAAGCCACTCATCCACCTGAGCATCCTTAGCTCTGCCACACTTAAGTTAGTATTATATTTCTCTTTTAATGGCTAACATTCGGCACCAAAAAGCATTGCAAGCCTCATTGCCATCTTACAGAATTTTTCCTTAAGTTTGAGTGGTACTTTTTATTACATAACAAGCCCGATGCATTCCTCCACTTCAACCATCCAACTTGAACTTTGCTGATAATATCCCATCTATTTCACCATCACTCTGAACAATATATCCAAGATTTCTAAAACATGTACTCTTATTAATGACTTCATCGCCCAAAGTCACAATCCTCTCACTAGGTCTATTACTATTAAAATTACACTATATATATTTTGTTTTAGATCTACTCAAGCGAAAACCTTTAGACTCTAAGGTTAACCAGTTAACCTCCATAATTCAAGTTTACCTTCAACTCCCTCTCTAGTCTTATCAACGAGAAGAATATCATCATCAAAAAGCATACACCAAGGTACATCCTCTTGCAAATGTCTAGTGAGAACATCCATGACTAAAGCAAAAAGATATGGGCTTAAGGCTGATCCTTGATGTAACCCAACCGAAATAGGGAAATACTTGGTCAATCCACCTTGTGTTTGAACACAAGTAATAGCTCCTGCATACATATCTTTAATGATTTGAATATAAGCATTATTGACTCCTTTCTTTTCAAGAACTCTGCATACATATCTAAAACATGCAAGATAGCAACAAATAATATTAGCTGAATTATCAGAACTATCGTAGTGTAAGGTTTGTGTTAATCTACATTTAAGACCATCCAAGGGGGTTGTTATTTGAACTTGAATGGCATGATTTCTTCCATTCATATAGGTGTGAGCGAAATCATTCATAGTACTTAGCTCTCCACCAAAAATAAGCATCGATCATGAGTTTTCTACACTCATCCTAAAATTTAATCATGTTGGGTAGAAAATATATACTACTGTTATTGCAACACTAATCAAATGAATATTATAAATATAATATGTTAAATTTTGAAGGAGATATTATTTTCAAATTATTTATATTTTAGTAATCTCTTGTGCTTATAAAATTGATAAAAAAATGTAAAAAAATTAAATAAATAAATAAAACATTAATGAGGGTTAAACAATCTAACCTAAACCATAAAAAACTGATTGCATGTTAAAGAAAATTACAATCTCTTGTCATTAGTCAGAAATATATTAATAAACTACACCAATATATTCATTGTATGAATTTTTTATTAGAGTTAAAACAGTAATAAATAAATGATAGTATTATTCATAAGAAATAAAAATAAAAAAATAAAATTTGCCCAAAATTTATAGACCATATAGTTCATGTAAGTCAAGTGAGATAAAGTTAAATTTACTTTGAATAAAGTTGAATTAATATGTTGAACGCGCACAATGTTTAGTATTAATTAATTAATTTCAAATAAATTATATTCAAATATAATGAAATTAATTTTAATTTTGGGCCTTAAAAATTGAGCAGCCATAAAAAAAAATTAAATTTATTTTAATTTTGAATGTGCATAAAGTTGAGTACTAATTACTTAATTTGTTAATTTTAAATAAGTCATATTCAAATATAATGAAATTAATTGTAACTTTGGGACAAAAAAATGAGCTACAATAAAACACATTTATAATTATTTCATTCTTTAATCATTAAAATTTTAATAACCATGAAACGAATTTAGAATTTAAATTATAATTACAAGCCTTTGTGGGTTCCAAAAATCCGGCCCCGGCCTCCCGCAATACTTTTATTCGGGGGAGTTTTAATGGAACTAAGTTCTGGAGTAATTTTTGAAAGGCATCATGTATTTGTAGATAAGTCACTACCCAAAAATTTTGGTTTCCTATAGGCGTAAGCCCCTATAGTTAATTACCCCTCCCAAAACGAGAGAGAACTTTCGATTAAGGCTAGTCATCAATCATATATGTAGAAAGTATGTGTTATTTAGCATACATTAGCAGCATGGGTGTGGTATTTGGATGTGTGATATTTAAAATTGAGAATTTTATCATCTTACAATTAAAGCGGATGGTGGGGGAATAGATGAACCCGATCAAGATTTCATGGTTTCGTTGTCCCAGGCCATTATGGTCCCTAGTATACTTAGTTAGATGAGGTAGTTGACTCAACCTGATGGAAGGATCCTTGTCGGCAACCATGGGTTGCGTCGTCCAAGGGTACCTTATAGACTTGGTGGGTGTTTGTCTAAGGGGACAAATTTGAATCCACCTTAGCTAATAGAAGGATTTGTGCCCGATCGATCATATCATATTGATTCATATCACAAGAATTTGATGCCACTAAGGAACATATTGGTTATGGCCATAACCGTTATCTTGTAGTGCTATTTGATGGCAAAACCACTCGGTTCAGAGGGTCCCATGTCATAATTGTTTATCATATGGTGTCATTTAGAGGCAAAATCGTCAGTCAGAAGACATGTACCACATCCTTACTAGCAGAAGATTATTTTGAGAATGGAACTTAGTGATATTTTCGACTAGGCATTAGCTTTATATGAGCTGAAATAAATTTCAATTTGTCCACCCCAACAAATTGTTGCAGATGGTGGATGGATTTTGCTTTAAGTGCTTTGATGGTTGAATTTAAATTTTAAATATTTGAATTTTGATGATTTTTGAATTTTCGTGGGTATTTTGGTGGAGCTTTGAATGTTGGAATAACCCCTCCAATTGATATCTACATTCAACACGACCATCATCAGAGTATTTATGGGTCATTTTCATTTATGGATTGAACCTTGTCGGCTTTGTCAAGTTATCGATAGAGGATAAGGCTTATTGCTGGCTTTGTGGTTTTGTTAATGAATTTTTTTTGTTGGAGGCCTTGAAGGCCTTATATGAATAAATAAAATATATATTCTGATCGACACCTTAATAATTTTTGCCTTATCAACTCCTATTTACCCACATAGAAGGATTGGGCTCAAAATATATTTATTTTTTGATCTGTGTAATATCCCTAGACGCGTGTGTATCCAAAATATACTTGTCGGGGCCCATACTATATATTAATAAATATTAATAGTAATTATATTAAATATTAATAATATCATTAACATAAATCTAATATATATTACATATATGAGAGAGTTGTAGGTGTCGGTCAAGAGAGAGGGACGGGTCGAGCGGCTTAAGGAGTTCAAGTAAGGAGGAGGGATCACAGTCAAATGGAGGAAGCTCTCTCTCTCTCTCTCTCTCTCTCTCTCTCCCCTCTCCTCTCCTCTCCTCTCTTGATTGTAAGAGTTGGATATAAGTGGAAAAATTAGGGTTAGACTGGTTGGAGTTTGGCCAATTAACTGGAGATAGGGTTAGGGCAGTAGGAAGGTTGATCGGCTCTGGCGAAGGGAAGTGATGAGGTTAGCTTGATTCAATGAAGGTGAGGT